TATTTCTTGTTTTTCAACGGATATTCTTTATTTATTATTATAAGAGCAACTAAATGCAAGAATTAGAAATTTATTAGGTCAGACAAGGTTAGATTAGGTAAGATAATGAATAATAGTAATAAAAATTCATCACAAGATATATTTGTGTGTTATACTATTCAGTACAATAACTTGAGCTATGCGTTCATTGAGTGATCTAAAACTTGTGTGGTGGGATAATTAGTTAGACAGTTCAAATGGCAAGAAAACAATAAATTTAAGCATAAATAGATGTAAACTGTTAGGAGCTTTAAGCTATTTAAGATAAACAACTGTAGTTTCCTGTTAGAATCTGTAGTCATTCTAGAAAGAGAAGGGGTAATTTAAATTTCTTATGGTGGTTACGAGGTTGATAAAACTGACTGAATGGGTACAGAGTTAGGGTAGAGAAAATAATAGATAAAATATAAAGTTTTACTGACAAAAAGATTTGATATTTATTTAAGAAGTTTTAGAGGTTACACAAATGAAATTTGAAAATCTTCATATGAAAAAAGTATTTTAATCTTAACATGAAAATCCCTTTGCACTCACAGTAGTCAACACTTTGACTCAATATGTTCTTGGACAAATCTTTAGTAAAAATACTTAATTAAAAATAATGATTTTTTTGTAAAAAAGACTTGTAAGGTTTACTGAAAGCTTGCTAAATTTCGAGAAGATACACAAAACATATTAAAAGTTATAACATGGAAACTCTTGATGGCTACTTTATGGTTACAAGTTCGGTCACACTGATCAACCTCATATAGAAAAACTAATTTTTGTTTCAGTAAGTGAAATGAGTATTGGTTTCTTTTACAAGGTAAAACTTTATGTTCAAAGATAGTTAACTTTGTCCCTAGATAAAAATCTAAAAACCACCATTTTTAAAATATATGAACTGTGCAATTACTGAAACAAAAAATATCAAAGATTGTATGTAAAATGTTGAAAATAATTTGTCACCTTATCGACATGTGCATTAAGGAAATAATTACAGAGTTTAAAAATTGAATGTTAAGTCCAAACTGTTCTAAACATTGAGTGTTGTATACATATTAAAATATGTAACATAGTATAGATGATGTTTCTTTAAAGGATCACAGGATTTACTTTAGCACTGTTATTTTCAGGATGTATAAATATGGTTTCTTGTTGAGTCATGCAAGTAGAACACAAATAAAAAATAACCATTCATCCATCTGCAACTGTATCTCATAACATTCTCAGTTATCACTCTTAGGTTATTCTTATGTTCTTGGCATAATCAATATGCTAATTGTTTTATGACTGAGCTTATGGGTTACCCTATTTCATCTCATCTTCTCTCTCTCTCTTACACACACACACACACACTAGCTCTAACATTTTATCTAGCCAACAGTAGTTTTATATGATCTCCGAGTATTTTCACATAATTACCTTACCTAATTTTATAACATTTAAGCATGATTCGATAAGATTCTCAATACAATCTTACTTTTTCTAGTAAATATTGCAAATTGTCTCTATCTATTTAAAATAAGTGTTTTGCACACAGACACACATATACTACCCACTAACCCTCTATCTAATCAACAAATTTTATGTAATCTAATTTCTTTTGTTTTTTAATATCCAAATACGATTGGATAACATTCCCAAAACAATCCTAGTCATGCAGCAAATACTGCGTGTTAGGTCACATAAATTATGTGATGTCACTACACTTCTGAGTGACACATCTCCACACAATTTCTTAATGATAAAGTTAAAATATTTTTGTATATTAAGTCTTATCATTGCTGTAATTTTTAAATCATTTGGATTGAAAATGTTTAGTCACATAATTATGGTAAGTATACCTCAGTACTCATACTCATAACCACTAATAATAAGGAAAAGATTAAGCCTTGCAATACATATACATACAACAATACGAATCAACTCACCACTTGATGCATTATCATATACAGTAGTAAAGAGACGGAAAATATCTCTAGGTACCGTGTCCTCATTTGTCTGTTTCTCAAGAACAACAACTATTTCATCCTGGCCAACAGAACACATTCCACGACTTGTAAAGCACCAACATTCCTTTCCATAACAGCATCCCACTAAAGGGAATAGAAATACAAAATGTCACCAGAGATAACATGGAACCCTTTACTCACATTTATTTGGTTTTAAATTTTTGGATTGGTTAATAGCCTTCAGGTATATATTTTGTTTTGTTAAATAATAACAATTTAAACAAATTTGAATATAAATTGAAAATTATAAGAATATCAAGACTATTAATATGATTAAATATAAACAAACTATTTTTTCTTTCACAAACCTACGGATATTTTAAGGCATTACACTTAACTGGTCCAATATGGATTTACAATAAAGAGTGAAGTATCTTTAAAAAATTTTCTGTCAAACTATGATATTTCATCCCACCTATCATAATGGAAAAAAACAAAAAGATGATGCATAGCCAGCTTTGGGCAACAAGTACCAAACTTTTCTTCTCTGTTTTTCTATCTTAACTACAAGTGTCTTAAAAAAATCTTTGTGCTTTAAAAATATATATATTAACAGATAAGTGTTACAAATGTGTAAATATATCAGTGATTCAAATACTGCTTTATGCAATAAAGGGTAAAGCTGCATAAAACTTTAATATTGATCTTTAACATTAATAATGCATAACAAAATAAAAATTATTAGATTCACAAATGTTAAGTAGCATTTCTTTTTATCCAGGAAATGTAAAAACTATATGTTTACTATATAAGTGCAAAGCAAACAAAATTATTCTTAAAACTTACTTTTAATGACACCAAGGTGTGCAAAAAATAGCACAAATTTAGTTTTGATGCAAGATTCATATTACACTCATTATTCATGTTCATCTACACACTTAGTAAATATCCAGGACAATTCTGTATCCAAACTTTGATACATTTGCCTTAAAGATCCTTCTGTAATATTACCTAAGTTTTTTTTTTTTACTTTACATAATTTGTAAATAAACAACATTTAAAAAATGAACAGTTTATTAATAAATGCCATGAAGAATTAAAGCTTATTGAAAATACTGATAAAAATAACTAATCAATTAATGTCATACTTACATGTGACTAACTTGCCAAGAATGTGCAAATTCTTAGTCAGTCCAAATACAATAGGACGAATACTGTCATCTAACAAAAAAAAAAATCTCCAAGTCTGGTCAATGAAACTATGAAATAAATATGGATTAAATTATGTCTTAATTAGACAATGAAACTATGAAATAAATATGGATTAAATTACGTCTTAATTAGACAATGAAACAATGAAATAAATATGGATTAAATTACGTCTTAATTAGACAATGAAACTATGAAATAAATATGGATTAAATTACGTCTTAATTAGACAATGAA